AAAATATCTTATAGGTAGGTAGGGGTATGTCGGTAATATTAGTCTAATACTGTGGATACGTTGGTCCAATAGCGATGAATTGACGTGGACTCCATTAAAGACTGCAGAATGCAGGAGAAAGCAGTTGCACTCCAGCACGCCTCAGACGTACAGTCAGGCACTATCACTGAGAACTTCCTCCGTTTTCTTCCTCCATTCTCGTTTTCCTCTGCAACCAGCGGACATGAAGCAATTCAGAAGAAATCCTATTTGCCCTGAATCTCCATTTGTAAGCACTTCTTTCTTCTTCTCTTTCCTCTTCTTCCGCTCTAAATTATATATATGATATGATTCCTCTTCCTTTGCCTCTTCCAATTACGCTTTGCTTGTCGATGTTACAGACGTATGCTCCTTTTTTTTCCTTTTCAGCTTTTCTCTACCTTTATCAATTCTGGATTTGTAAAACCATGGCATCTTCTTCCTTTTTATTTTTCTCTTTTTTACATTTTCTTTGCATCCAAACACGCCTTTATCTTCTTTTGTTTCATGAATTTCCTTCGTCCTTTGAAGGAGAGTGTTAAGGTGTGTTTAAAAGAACTGTTTGGCCTCCCAGAAAATGGAGGTCAGTGAAAAGACACTGAATTCTCTCTATTTTTTTTTTTTTTTAATAACCGTCTTGTCTTTGGAGAACCACGCAGAAGAAGTTGTTTGTTGACTTAACATCTATAGCTAAATAATGAATAACATGGGGTTTAAGGATGATGTCTTGCATTGTGATTCTGATTTTCATTTCCATTTTGTTTATTTATTTATCTATTATTATTATTATTTCTTTGTATTTTTCAGGTTTGGGATGGAAATGGATTCTCGCGGTGCTTCAATAACTTATATCCTTTATTGTTATTATTATTATTCTTGTGCATTGAGTGTTTGTTTATACCGCAGTTCGACACAATAGTGCTATTTCTTTATGTGAATTGTTGGGTTTCCTTATCCATCTTTACAGTTTTAGGTTTTGGAGTAAATGCTGCTACTATTATTATGATTTTCATGCTTGGATTCATTCGAAGGAATGCCAGAGCAAATTCGAGAGTAAACTCTTCATTATAAATGACTCTTATGGTCAATTGGTTTTCGTTTGGTTACTGTATATTAAGCTTTTATGGTTCTTTCTTTGATAAAAGGAATGCTGTTTCACTTTTATCATCTTAAGTGAAAACCCCGGAAATTACTTATTATGCGCCTTTGGTTTTTGTTTGTTAATTTTCAAATTCTTCTTTTTTTCTTATCCCTTTTTTTTGTTCCTACAAGCTCTGGAGATGTAGGTTTAAAATTCATTCAAGTATTAAATCTAAGTTTGATGCTTCTCTACATCCATATTTAAATTCGATGAGAGAGACTCAAGTTTTGACTTTAAATTTCTACTAAACCAATTTACAATCTGTGCTGATACCTTTATAAAAATTGCCTAGACAAACCTTGCAGAGAAGGTTCTTTTGCATCTTGTACCTCTTGTTGGAGCATGTTTGTCATGCATGGATGTTATCCTGGTTTTGAAGAAAAAACTTGATGGAGATTTTATTATATATCATGAATGGCTTTTCAGATGTTCCCGGTTTGCAGCCTGGGTAAGCTTTACCATCTTTATGTTGGTTTCAATGTTAATGACTTGCTGTTTTGGTTAGTTAATGTTGTTTGACTGATTCTTTAAGTTTAAAAATATATTTAGACAACTATCCTTTTCTGCTCGAGGTCTGCCTACTTTCAGTGCATATTTTGTGATCTGATCTTATGCATCTGGTGGACTGTAAAACCACTGCTCGAAATCCTTCATTTGGGAGCGTCTTTTTCTTCGTTGAAGGTATCACTCTGTTTTCCTTTAACAAATATTGTTATGTTCATAGTTCTATGTAATTCATTAGGTTCTTAAGGAAGATATAATTGTTTTTATTAGTTTATATAAATGGATGAAGTCTCTTCCCTTCCCTAGCCAACACAATTGTTTATCATATGTTTCTATAGACGTGAATCTAACAAAATTTTCGGAAGTATTTTTAGCTATTTAGTCTTAATTTATGTGGTAATGGTTTAAGAATTTCTTCTGCATATGGTTGAAATGATATTGTGAGAAAAAAGTTATTGCTAAAGCCTTTTGCCTTTTCATGGTTAATTTCTAAACTCAAAGTTTTTGTGGAAGCTTCATTTGATGTTTGGGAACCAAACTGGAATAATGCCCCATATTTGGCACTCTTGTGTGTTAGACTTGTATGTTCGTTGACCTTCTTCACCATAGAATGTCTTTGTTCAGCCACATGGCTCAAAGGGCTCCTTACCATTTTGCAAAATAGGTTTTATCCTGTTCCTCCTGAGAAACCTTAGAGCTCATGGCAACTTCTTTACGGGCTCTGTACTTTGTAGTTGAGCTGATTAAAGGTTGATGGTAGTATTGAGTTTATTTTCCTTTGTTGGACAATAGTTTCTTAATAATTTTTGTCTGTTATGTAGATCTTTGGATGTCTAAAAGAGAGCAGCATTGTTTTTCTGGATATCATGTTTGGCATATTTATTAACTATATCAGGATAAAGCGAGCATCTCCAAAGATCAGGT